GTCCAGGTCGAGCTTTGAAGTTCTTTTTCAGCATGCGCAACTCCACGACATCACAAGGGTGCCTGATGACTGTCACTATGGTAACAGGGTCACGGCTCTGGATGTAGCGGTAGAAACGCTCCACACAGTAGAGACAGAGAGGACCAGACACCCACAGCCACGTCTACAGAAACAACACAGCACAAACCAGGCATATGGGATAGATAATGAAAGCAGTTTCACAAAGACAGCTTTATGTCATGTGTGTTGCTCTCCTGAGTTTATTTTTTTTGCGATGTCACTATGTTACAAGATCTCAGCAGTTACTCTGGTGTGACCCCAACACTGTCACATAAAAGGAAAGATCTGAAAAATCAATGACTTAATAGCTCATGTGGCTCATGATCCATCACAGTTCCTGGTTACTGAAACGAGTGGACTACAGAAAGAAAAAGTTTTGTTGGTTCCAACTTTGTTTGGTCTTTTTGTAGATAATGGCTCCCACTGTGGTTCTCTGGACTCTCAAAATCTTAGAAATTGCTTTGTAATTCTTTCCAGACTGAAAGATATCAGTGACTTTGCTGTTTATCTTGAGATTCTTAAGATCATGACATGATGTGTCATTTTTTAAAATCTTTCACTTTACTTCACTTTGTCAGACAGGCTGTATTTAAGTGATTTCTTGATTCAACAGGTCTGGGAGCTATCAGGCTTGAGTGAGGCTAGCTTTCCAGAAACTCTGCTTTACGCAGTTAATTCACGATTTAACAAGCAGAGAGTGATTTCATTTATTTTGCCCAGTCAGTTAAGTCTTTATTTAAAAAGTGCATTTTGTATTTACTCCCACAAAGGGGCAAATACTTTCGCGCAGCACTATAAGCAAACCAATGACTGCTGCCGCTGTTCTGGTGGTATCAGTATTTGAAAAGTGGCTTGAATCATGAGGCTTGGCGACTGGAATCTTTGCATAATAAAGGCCATTCAAACTACAGCAGCCGAATTTTCCCTCGGGAATGTATCTAAGTCGGCGAATGTTAGTACAGAAATGTGTACCAGGTATTTTCTATCAAAGCTTTGTAATTCCATCAGCCTGCTCCCCATCACAATAACCCGAGGAGTCTGAATCAAATCCAGCTGAAAAGAGAGAGTACGCTCACAAGAATAAATACTAAATCGACTGATATCACAGTGTGAGGTTTTTCTCTTCCTTTCTGTTGGCAGTTACCTGTAACAGACTAATTGCTCGCAGCTTCAGTAAAGCCCTGGGAGCACAACTGTACTTAAGGGGGATTTATGGAACCAGCTCGTTGCTTAACGACCAAGTGCAAACACATCATCACACACGCAGGAGGAAACACACACAAAAACAGGCCTTGATGTAGAGAAAGGATGCAGCCCCTTCCTAGCAGTATTACACCCCTGCTCAATGGGACCAGCTCCTACCAACACTTCCCAAATACCCAGCATTCATCCAAAAGCCCAACCACAAACCCTAAAACACTGACGAAGACTTAAACAAACATTTCCTTCAACTCAAACCAAAACACAAACACATGTAAATATGCTCATAACACACACACACACACACACACACACACACACACACACACACACACACACACACACACAACACACACACACTCTGACCTGGGGATAATGTGGCTGGAAGCGAGCGTCCTCGTTGCATCGCCTCTCCTCTTCTTCACTCGTGTCCAGTTCATCTCCCTGCTGCTCGGTGCTGCTCTGGTTGGCTCTGAAGCAACCAGGGGGGTGTGCCTCTATGTTGGTCTGATACTTTAGAGCTCCACTGATGAAAACAACATAATGTTTTCATCAGTCACACTTTAGCACATTTACTCATCACTCTTTTACGACTACTCAGGCAAAATAGATTTAAAATGAAAACTAGGGGCTGACAGTTCAACCACACAGAAGAACAAACAGGCGCGAACAAGCACTTGGCTGAATGGGATGACTAGTACCTGCATTTGAATTTCACCTGAAAGACTTTCAGTTCCTTGGAAAAAGAAATGACTCTGTGTGTTGCATAAGTGTAGAGGGGAAACCCAAACACCCACATGCACTGTTAGTGCTACCTACCCAACCATGTGTATCATCAGGATGACGTAGAAAACAATGAAGAGGTTGTGTGTGTACCAGAAGATCTCATAGTTGGACATGCTGTAATAAATTACAAGACGATCAGAGTTTACTAAGGACATGATGTACAGACTCCCAGCTCAGAGCCTGAGTGAGGAGAACATCAAAGATCAGTAAAGAGGTCGTTACACAGAACAACCCCCCATAAACACTGCAGACAACAACCAAGCTCTGTATTCTCCCTTTTCGAATGCAGCTCTTTTTAAATGGTAACTAAGATATACACAACGTGGCTAAGATATCCTGTTACACCCAACAATGTCATACGATTCTTCTGGTTCTGTACTAACCAAAACATAGCTTAATCTGTCAATCATTCTCCAGAAACAACAACTAAACACAGCATAAATCTCTTTTAAGAACTTAAAAGAGAAACTATTAGAGCAACGTATCGCTCTCTGGCATGCAGTACAAAGCTCTGTTGTTTCTCTGAGTTAACTGTACTTGATCATGAAGTGGAATGATGCTAGAAGAGATTACTCAAGCTATCCCAATCTATCATTCCTGGGAAAGTGGAAGGAATCTTTGGAGAGGAAAGTTCCATTTCAAAAAATAAATACATAAAATTATTGCATCTTGGAATTCATTTCATGCATATTCTCACTTGAAATAAATTAAACACTGTGGCCCGTGACTTTTCTTTTTTTTACATTAAGCTGTAAAAGTGGGCTTCTCTTCAAAGTCGTTAGATGAGATCATAGAGCACACATTTTCTCCTCCATGGGCATCGTAACGCAAAGCTTCTCACAACTCAACACTTTCTAATGTTAAAGGCAACAGGGAGCAGACATGAAGGTACTGCAATCCGTAAAACATAAATAACCTTGGAGACTTTAAAGTAAGTTCATATCTGTGGATCACTGACTCATTAAGCAGGTATTCTTCTGCTGTGCAGCCGCCATCATCCCACCACTCCAGCCACTTAGCCAAATTCTTATCTAAAGCCTTAAGTGGTCTGGAAAAGCCTCTTATCCCCTGTTCAATTACCGAGGAAATCAGGGAGACCGTTCGGAAGACTAATACACGTATAGTGAGTGACCCACTATGACCTGAATAAGGACAGAGCTGTGATTTTCTCTCCCACAACCTTCTGTTATTGTGCCTCCTCATGGTCTCCAGCTTACATTTCACTTTGACTAACACAAAATGAGTCATGAGCTCAGACAGAAAGAGAAAAGCGAAGAAACACAACACAGAGATACTGATGTCTCGCCTTCTGTCTGACAGACAGACATAAATACAAATCATGTTTGTATCGAGGAACGGAGACGTGGAGCCGGGCTCCAATTCATCCCAATTACAGTTGCTCATCAAGTCTATGAGGGTTCTTTCCTCGCTTCTATTAATACAAAGACTATGATGACTATTATAATGGTGGTCTGATTTAGCCTACCGTACACAGTAGGAGGAGGATATGAACATCAGGAAGAGGATGAGGACCAGCAGCACACCAGTGACTCCTGGGACTAAAGACAATAACTCAGTTACAGAATGGAGACAAACCCAACAAAGTACTTAGGGGTCACAAACATACATATAAAAATACACATAAGGGAATTGTCTGCTCACACGTTTAAAGCAATATTTGCCATTTAATTTAATATAAAAACTGAATTTCAAAACACAACATGACTTCCTATTCTTTCTAAAGCCACTAATCTGTACCATAGTGCATGACAAAGAGTAGTCCTTACTTGTGGTCAGAATAATCAGCATGGGTCCTAGGAAAGAAAGCAGAAAATAAGAATTGTGTTCACTCTTCTGCATCTGTTTCTGTGAGGACCGATGAAGAGTTTTTGATCTCACAGAGGAAGCCAAGTCTGTGCTTTGGAGAGAAAACTGTCTGCAGGCTTCTTTCCAACACACACTTCAGCTGGTGACTTTCTAGAATGTTCTTGAAGGTGAGCTAATCAGCAGACAAAATCTCCAGACGACTAGCTTTGGCTAAAAGTGTGGACATATTTGGATATTTCCCTCACTTGCTCAAACAGGTTGATGCTTTCAGATTTAGAGATTGGTGTGCTTCACAATGAATGCTTCTCTGATTATGTAACAGTAGCTTAAGCTTTGATATAAAAGACAGTTAATCATCTGGCAATCCAGCAATCATGTTTTCTTTTAGTGGATGTTTTACATTGTGAATGACCAGGTGTGCAGGACTGTTTTGCTCATGTGCTCCAGATGTGGTCAGACAACAGGTTTCAAGCATGTCTTGAAACTGGAAGCACAGGGTTTGCGGTGGGACGTGTCACTGTGATGGTGAGTTCAGGGGGTGTGCTTGAGTCTCACCTCTCCTCTGTAGCGAGCCAAATTGAGAGCCGGAAAGTCATCTATCTCACACTGAATCTGACAACATTAACCAGGTGGGCAGAAACGTGCATAACTAGAGGAGAAACAAAACGTTACACTGTGCTGATTTAAAACACATTTAGTGCGCACATACAAGACTTCAAACAGACACGCTCTCACTTAATTATACATGTTCAAATGAACTGCCGTCAGAAACTCATACAAACATTTCTTTGTCTATTCAGCAAAAACTCAGCAAAACAACCTCCCCACTTACTAGCTGGCACACACACACACACACACACACAGGACACACACTCCTAGCTGACATCATGGCCAAACCACGCAGTTGTTCAACAGCTGATGGAATTAGAGGGTGTGATCACGAGACACAAGGGTCCTATTTTCCCTACTCACATCCTTCGTCACTCCACTGCCTCCTCTATTGCTCTCTTTTCTTTCCTCCTCTCTCCATCTGTCTCTCCGCTGCCTCCCTTTGTAGTCATTTGTTGTCTCTGAGTTTTGTTTTTCAGCACATGAGAACTTTGCCCCGGGGTTGGGGGTGGGGGGACGCATATGCATAGGGAACTGCTGAGTAATGTTTAATGAGTTGAGAGGTGAGTGATGATGAAGATAAAAGAAGAACTTAAGTTTACAGGCAAAGAAATTCTGCTGCCAAAATCTCAGCCGATCAACCCAGGCTGGAATATCCGTGAAACCACAGAATGGAAGATTTTAACCGACGTTCCCAGTCCCAGATAATGGATTGCTTCTTTCTGACCATTTTGGTTTTAAGTAAAATGTCACTCCAACTGTTATATGGGCCGTGATAAAATGTGCTCTGAAGAAAATACAGGCATTCTGTTTCTATTTAATGCAAGTTAGCATGCTGATGTATGAATGTAAGCTGGTGAACATCAGCCTTTCTCTTCCATGGAGATGAACCTGCTTAATAAGCAATCAAGTAACGCAGTTTGATTGGTTAAACACTCTCAGCTGATGAATGAATGGCCTTATTTATCACTTTATCAGTAATCAGTAATGCATAATTTTGACAATCATCGTCTGGCCAGCTCGTCTCCGCAACCACCATTAATCACATTAATTAGTCAGATATTTAGAGCGAGGCAGGACCTTTTTACAATGCCCGAATCTCTGCTGCAGGAAAGCTCACAGCATGTGGCTTACCACTAACTTTACCTGCGGTTCAGCTTTTTGTGACACATGCAAGTAACTATAAGAAACAGCAATGCCGGTCAGGCTTCCAGAAACATATGAATGAATAAGAGGAAGACCCCTGCAAAGAAGAGAGCCACTGGACCCACAGCTGCTTGAGGCTCCCATGATGTCATAGGAGACCCATAAGAATAACATACACACAGGACACGTAGACAGTAAAAAGAAACACAAACAGCAAGAAGAGCATCACAGCTGGTTCAGCAGAAATGCTGAGCTAGCATGGATTCATGTGTACACATTCAGCACACAGACTAACACAGACAGGCACACAGTGATACATGAATGAATATGAGGCAGGGTGACGAGTGACAGCTTTTACCAGAAAAGATGCAGATGGCAACGCCACACGCCACATGAAAGGTCTTGGACTTGTCCAGCAGTCTGCGTGTCTTTCTGCTTGATATCTGCATCAGTGTGTGTGTCACACAGACAATAGTATTATTCACGTGGCTGGGATTCAATGAAAACACCAACTAATCCTCTTCCTTCTACCCTAATCAAGACTGCAATCCTTTTATGTTTCTATATTCATATTTGCCTCTGTATTTTTTAGCAGTTCTTTTACAATATATGAGTCGCTTTTACAGAATAAGCCCCACAACCTGTTTTCACTGATACAACCAAACCCACTTGGAAGTTCTTCTTCCCGTCCCTAAAAACTCCAATGATCCATCCGAGCTGTAGTATTTCTTACCATCCGTGTTCCTCGTACAAAGGTCACCAGAGAGCGGCACATGGGCAAAAGCACCAAGCTGCAGTTCAGGTTTAGCACAGTTGCAGATGCCCTGCTGATGCACAATCCTAGCTGGGAAAGACACACACACACACAGACACACACACACACATACATTGTTAGGCAAGTTGCCAACACTAGGCCTCATTTGGTGGGTGTAAAGTGGCCTGGTGGATTAAGGTGCACATTTTTGATTATTCCCATTCAGATATCAGCTATTCAATCATGGCCAATTGAATAGCTCGTAGTGCTAGATAAAACTACCTTTGTCTTTCTCAGAATAGAGAGCTAAGGACCCCTTTAGGAGTCTGTTAGTCTTTAAATGGAAGACATTCATTTATTTTGAAAGTCATCCAGTTTTTGGCTTTAAAAAGAGATTTAAAAAGACTGGAAAACACTGTTTATTCTCTAAGTATACACTCAAAGACTCTTCTGACTACACCACTGTTTTGCCACCACTTGCAAGTTTTACAGTCTGTCATCCTTTCAGTACAGAGCAGGTTATGTAGAGGCCCCTAACAAGTTGATGACAAGTGGACAGTTTACCTGAAGCGACACAGGGGGGACGTCTGCTGTGTAATGTGGTTTTACAAATCTTAATCTTAGAGCTCGACAATCGAAGCTGTTTTCAAGCTTAAAAGCCGGACGTCCTTTGGCATCTTGTAAACACAGCACATTTAAACACTTTCTTGGCAGCCTGAGCGTGCGCTGCAGGTGCCGTCTCTTCTGATTATCCCCAAGAAACTGAAATGACTGGTGTGAGAGATGAAGGTAAGCACAGATCAAAGACGGAGAGCGCGTCTGAAACTGGAGTCCAGCCTTTGAAGGGATGGGGGATTTAAATAGCGGTAAAGATTTGTGATGGCTGTAAGAGATGCAACATAATATAGGAAGTGCGCTTAAAACAATGTGATTCCTTAAGGCGGCAGCAGCTTCTGGTCAGTCACCAGTTTCAAGTGATTAGCTGTCACAGTGTGCTGTACAACAGATGCTGAAATATAAGAATGTGGTGAAACAACTGGTCAAGAGTTAAAATCTACATATAGCAGATGATGGGGGAAGACCAGCATGCTTATAAATCAGACGCCTACACCTTTGAAAGACTTCCCACACACACACGTTCACTCAGCATACCTTACTAAGAACAGCTGACGCCAAAACCAAGCAGGAGGTCTGATATCCTCCCTGCTTTCTGTACATCCCAAAACCCGATTTACCCCAGGTGAAGGAGAAAAGTTGGATAAATGAAGTTTGAGCTGGATTCAGTTTGCCTTCGAAATACATCTCCGTCTTGCATGTACACACGTACACGTGCAGACACACACATAAGCTTAAGCCCTCTGGTAAGGCATTCAGTCAAGCCAGCAGCGTGCCCACACTTGCCCCTCTCTCCCCTTTGCTATCCACTGTACACGCAGTGCAATAGCTCGCACATGCTGCTCGCTGCCACATCTAATTTTATCACTTCCAGCTTTACCTTTGTTTTTTTCATCTGCTGGCTTTTCATACTAGCTTTAACAACTTCATTTACAAATACTCGTACTGTATTATATGTGCTAAACTTTGTTCTTGGCACATTTCAGTTATCACTTTGGAGTTTGTTCAGCACAATTTGATATATTTTTAAACACAGAATCCAGGTGAGTGCTTTTGTTTTTGCTATATTTGCATAAAAAATGTGATTTTTGGGAGAAAATCACAGATCTGGTGCAGAAGTAATGACTGGCATTATTATTTCCAAAGACAAGGAACTTTTTCACTCCAACCAAGCATGCATCGAGAGTCACACACCCACGCCCACAGAGACACCATTGAGACCTTGTGACAAAAATTACACCACATGAGCGAGCAGGCATTAAAATCTAAACCTGATTCTATGTGTGTGTGACTGGTTGACCCAGCTCATGTCCTACTGCCTGGTTCTGGAGGTCACAATAACAAGCCAATACACGTGGTGCTTTTATCTCTTCCTTAACAACAATAAGAATCAAATTTTCACAGAAAATAGTGTAAAAGTCAACCACACAACCTTGTTTAGTTGTGGAATTATGAAGAGCACTGTAGGTCTACTGAATAAAGCTACTGTCAGCGGTTCCCTTACTCACAAGAACCAGGGATTTTTCACTTATCAGCCAAAATATGTGAATCACTACATCATGGAGCTACACTTTGTAGGCCTTATGAAGGTACATGATTTATAACTAATCTCAAATGATATGGTGGAAATGACAGGGCAGAGGAAAAAGCGTGATTTCAGAAGACGAAAGTCACTTATACGTTCTCACAGCTGGTAAAAACACAGCTGCTACTTATATCATTAAGAGTGACCTTGTTATTTTCAGTTTTCTTTTGTGATGTTAGCTGGCATCAACAATATCATGACCCTCAGGGTCACTGATGAGTTTTTCCTGTCTCACATGACAGATGTACAAAAAATAAAAATCTTGAAAATCTGTTTATGTCTAATCAAACAATGCAGCTAAGAAGGGTTTGATGTAAGGGCTCAGTAAAGGGTCCGTTTCCTTCTTTAGCTTGGTTCAAACAACACATCTAGAAAGTGCATGTAAATGTATCAGGTCTCACCCCAGCATCTTGTAGAGGTAGTGGTATTGCTGTCCAGTGAAGTAGAGCAGGAAGGTGGCTGATGAACAGCCAGGTGTTAACTCCCAGCCACAGAATCTACCCCACACACACGCAGAGAGACACACACACACACGGAACACATCATCACAAACAGCACAAGAAATTGCCTGTAAACGTCTCGTGCACATCTGTATCTGAGTTCAGGCCACAGCTGCCCTACAATAGCCAAGCAGACTGCATGGATACAACATGTACTAAACACAGTAACTGAGCAGCAACAGATTCATTTGAGCGTTCTTGGAGAATTGTGTAAGTTAAAGATAAATAACAGATATATTAACGAGTCAGTTAACAGATTTAAGTGGAGATGGTGGTTTTCAAATGTCAGACAAAACTTTCCCCACCAGGACGAAGTACTTCCCTCCTTCGTTGGCCACCCAGCTCCGCGCCGACACAACCATGATGCCTTCAGGGGCTCAGCAGCTGCCCAAACTTTTCACCAAAGCTCCGGTGCGGTCAAGATCTCAGAGACTCGTCCTCCCTGCAGCTCTGCCTCAGTCTGTATGCCAGACTGCAGTGTCCACAGAGCAGCCGGTGCCTGCTCAGTCCAACCTCCCAGGAACTCCTCCGTTCACAGTGCATTTTCACTTTTTAGCCACCACAGCTCTTTCTCTCTCTGCCCCTCTCACCAGTCCCCCCATGAACGACACGCAAGGACATTAAGACAGCAGCTTCCCTAAAACATCGTGAATTTATAAAAATACACAGGACGTGCTCATTGAAACCACAAACACACTTGGGGGGAACAATAAACTACGATTAATCGCACCTTGCTGCGTTTTTCTGGCACTAGAGGGCGCTATAGACAAGCGTATCCCCGTGAAGTCTCCCATCTTTGACTCTTATAAGGTACTTTTAAAAATTATACTTACACTTTTAATCACACATTTTAATTGCTGTTTTTAATTACAAAGAGTTGCAAAGTTGAAGTTTATTTGAAGCCGGAGTGTCACACTCTTTCTTTTGTCTGATCTGAAGTGGGGTTGGTAGGTCGATAATCAAAGGAGCTGCAAAGAAAAGCGTCTGGACTTCTTTAAGTTGCTTGAAGACGTTTCACCTCTCATCCGAGAAGCTTCTTCAGTTCTAAGGTCAAAGGTCAAAGAACTGAAGAAGCTTCTCGGATGAGAGGTGAAACGTCTTCAAGCAACTTAAAGAAGTCCAGACGCTTTTCTTTGCAAGCTCCTTTGACTACGATGACCTGGATGACTGAGAACCTTCACAGACACGTAGGTCGATAATAACTTGCCTGACTTTAAAGGACAATTATTTTATTTAAAAATTCCATTTAACTAAACCAAACACTTTAAAGTACAGAAGAACAGTCTGGAAAAAAAATACACTGACAATTTTTTGAAGTAAACAACTAATGTGTTGTAGTCTTTATGACAATTTTAGCAGGCATGACGTTAACAATGCAATTAATTGAAAATATGGTAAATGGACTGGTTCTCATATAGCGCTTTTCCACTCTTCTGAGCACTCAAAGCGCTTTACACAACTTGTGCATTCACCCATTCACACAGCACAACTGACATTCACACTCCAATGAATGCATCGGAGAGCAATTTCGGGTTAGTATCTTGCCCAAGGATATTTGGCATGCAGACTAGGGGAAGCCAGGAATTGAACCACCAACCTTCCGATCAGTAGATGACCTGCTCTACCACCTGAGCTACAGTCACCCAAATAGTTATAGATTTTACGCTTTAGCACACACAAAGAGCCATGTAGTGAACTATAATAATAACTTTTATATTACCAAGAAATTATTAACACTGACTTATTAACGTATTAACTTATTAATGTGCTGTTTATGCAATAAGAAACCACTGAGATGAAGCTACTTCCGGCTGCTCCCTCTTCTTCACGAGGGGTAACAGGGGGTAGCTCTGCATGTTTGATTTGGCACTGGATGCCTTCCTGATCCAACACCAAAGGACAGTTGACCACAGAGAAATTATTGCTAAAATTATAACTGTATAATCACTGTGAGAGATATTAGATGTTTGATTGAATTTTGCTAACAAACTAAGAATTGCTGTTTGGGGAGATGCATGTGAGAGTCCATGTTATTGTGATTATGACCTTTAGATCTCTGCATGGACAAACACCAGCATACATCAGAGAACATTTACACCCATAGGTCCCCAGAGGTCTCTGAGGTCATGTGATCAGGTCCTTGTGTATCATCCAAGGCTGAAAACTAAAGCAGACAGTGCTTTTGCAACAGTTGCTCCAAGACTCTGAAACTCCTTCTGAGCTTGGGGATCTTTGGGTTTGATAACGCTTTCAAAAACAGATAAAAACTCATTTTTTTAGACTTTTTGTTTTTCAGTTTTTCAGCATTTGTTGTGAAGCCCTTTGTGATGTTTTTCTTGAAATGTGTTATACAAATAAACTTTCTTACTTACAGTTT